TATTAAGTAATACGTGTTTTGCTCAGTAAAACAAAATATCTTCTTTACTGGTATGATAGCTAAGGGTGGGCCTTGACCTTCCTCATATTTCCCCTCCATGCCTCCCTGTTCCAGAGTGAGGTTATCCAGTTTGTTATCCTAATTGTTTTAAAGACCTTTTTCTTGACAGTCATTCAGCCTATGTTTTGGTCTCTCTCTTCTTCGGGTAAGAGGAGTGAAGGGGGAATCAAGTGTGGCAATTATTAGTGAGAAAAAAAAAACAGATTCGGAAATTTATAAACTAGAAGTTAGTAAATTTAATAAAAGAGCTAGACATCATTTAAATTTATTACTATCGAAATGATTAAATGGGAAGGACACCAAATATGATAGGCTGACGATCAAACCACTAAAAATATCTTCTTGGCCCATGAAAAAAATAGTAAAGAAAAAAGTAAGAAAAATTAGGGAGAAAATCCTTTAAATTGCAGTAACTTCCAAACAAATTGAAATTGAAAAAAAAACTCTTTTTACATTTATAAACAAATAGTTCTCTTTCAACACGTCAAATTTAAATTCTGCTGTTGTATTTCTGCCGTTTTTAGAGCGGCCCCCATGGTATTTATTTGTTCTTTTACTATAAGTTCTGCTGTTAATTTTCTTGAACTGATTGCCGGTAAATTCTTTTATTTAATCGTTAGTTGTTAATATTTCTACACACCTTCGTAATCTTAACTTTTTAACTCAAACCACTTTTTGCGCAACGATACAGCATGAAACGTAAAGTTGAATTCCCAAAATTACGGTCTTTCGGCGCTCATGACTTCTTTTAGTATAGAAGGACACTGAAATATGACCAAAATTAAAACATTTTTTTTTCTTGAATGATCTATGAAAAAGATACATGAAGAGAAAAAAAACTATCGATTTTTAAGTGCCAATTTGACGCAGTCGTCATCAACACTCATTAATTAAATTTTTGTATAAAATGCTGATTGAACAACTAGCAATGGTTCAGAGAAATAAAAATAATGCTCAAGTTATTATCGGCTGTGATTTTAAAAGTGACTATTGCTTTGAGATATATTCTACGTTAGTAAATATTATAATATTCATTACTCGTTCAATCACAACAATTTTCATCAATTGTTCATAATGTTCAATCCCTTAAAAATAGCGTTAATAACTGACGAATAAAAAATTGAGGTTGAAATTTGTGAATATTTAATGACAATTCTTAAGACAGAAGAATATTTAAAATAATAAAGCAGGGCTCGAAAAAACTCAGAAATTTTACCCGTCCCCGAGGACGGCTTGTCCAACAATGTACCTGTCCTCCTTTGAAACTAACCCGTCGCTTCTAAATAAATAAAAATATAATTTTCTCTTATTTATTACAAACATTTATATAAATTGCACAATGAATTAGTAGTTACTAGGATTACATTATACAGTAATAAAAGGAATACTAGGTTACTAATAGGAACCTAGTATTTCTTTTATAAAATAATTTATTTCTTTTATGAAATAATTTATTTCTTTTATGAAATAATTTAAATGTCAAGTTATCTGGAATGTCAATGTATCCGAGGGTACTGCGTTTTTTAAATGAATCAAATATGACGTCTGCCAGTTCCGCAATCAAGCTAATGATTTACAGAGGTTTCTGCACAAAAATCTGAAAGGGGTTTTCCATTTAGGTAGATGTTCATAATTGCGTTTAACGCTTCTTGTTTAAGACCAGTACGTAATGCTTATTTTTTGTAAGTTCATTGCTGAAAAGTCCTTTTCAACCGCTGCAGTACGGGAGACAGAGAAAACATCAATTCCACCATGCTCAGTATGTTGCTGTATTTCGAGATTAGAGGGTCATTTTTGAAGTGAGGCGCTAGACTCTTGCAAGATAACAAAAATTTAAAATGTATCACGAACATTAACGGGAAAATAGCCGTCCGCGCGGACGCTGGATTCGAGAAATTTGTTGTCCGCGGGGAATTTTTGACCGCCGAGGACGGGCGGTTTTTCGAGCCCTGTAATAAAGTATAGTTTTTTTTAGCCCGTTTGTAAAAATGCCTAAATATTACGTATGAGCAAGAACACTAATGTTTTATCAAAAATTATATGTCTGACACATTACAACATAGTTAATTTGATAAAAATGCCAAAAAGAGCGAACATAATTTTTAAAACCTAAATATTTCATTAAAAATATGGTTATTTAATAAAAGTTTTGCTTATTAAAGATACTTTGAATTGCTAATAAAAATTTTAAAAATAGTAAAAAAGAATGCATATGCATAATATTGCCATGATGGCTCATTGATTAAAGCACTAAACGGTTTTAGTGAAGAACTAGGGTTCGATCCCCAGTGTCGGCTTGAAGTCCACCCATCCTTAACTGTATGGGTATGAGAAGTAAAGTCTGCCAATGCGCAGTGCTGACCACATTGCCATAATCATAAAGTTGATACGAAAGAAATTATGGAGTCTTAACCTACATAGCCCGGTCAGAAGTCAAAATTCTTGATGGTCCCCTCAAAAGATTTTGATGGTTTAAATTGGTTTCAGCGCGATTCATGATGGTCCCCTCAAAAGATTTTGATGGTTTATATTAGTTTCAGCGCGATTCATGATGGTCCCCTCAAAAGATTTTGATGGTTTACATTGGTTTCAGCGCGATTCATGATGGTCCCATCAAAAGACTTTGATGGTTTATATTGGTTTCAGCGCGATTCATGATGGTCCCATCAAAAGATTTTGATGGTTTATATTGGTTTCAGCGCGATTCATGATGGTCCAACATCATTTGATGGTCACCTTCATCCCACATTCTCCATTACGTGTTCATGGTTTTTGATATGCCAACAAACTTCCATCATTACATGATGGGAAATGCTGCTTTAATACTATGATGGTTAACCATTAAGAGAAGTTTGACTTTCATGATCCAACAATATTTGATGGTTCATGATGGTTCCAACTATACATTTCCCTAATGGTTTAATAGTAATTCTTGTTGGTTCTCAGAAATATACCATCCAAACAATTTGGATTTTCTTATGTTGTGCCACCATTAATCAGTCCAAATTCCTACATTGGGATGATGGTTGTTCATGATCGTTCCAACATTTGATTTCTAAGACACTATGATGGAAATTTGTAATGGTTCAACATGAACAAACCATCAAAACAAGTTGCTATTCTTATGTTGGACCATCATGAATCAGTCCGAATTCCTACATTCAGGTCATGGTTACCATCAAAAAATATATAGGCTCATGATGAAATTATTGATGGTTACCATCCAGAATATGTTGGTCCATCAATGGTAAACCATCGGAAAATTTAACTTGGGACCCCCTACGGACTGTTGCGGGAATGCCATAATATTTAACCATAATATTTGAAATTTAGATGGATAAAAATGTCTTGAGGATCGTCAATGATTCGATGTTTAGTCTACGAGGAAATACTTGTTTCGGTTCTTTTTGGAAAACTTTGACTCTTAACGAATCAGAGAATGTTACCCGTACGTCGTAACTCTCTAACATTGTTAGATATAGGTACTCTATTTTCAGACGGTGGTAATAAAGTCTGATTACGTGTTGACTCTACATAAAATTAAAAAGGTATTTAAAAGAAAGATTTAATTGAATTGAAATAGCTCGTCCGGTAATTACTATCTAAAGAAACAACTTTAATAAATTAATATTCTAATTGCAGACTTTTTCTTTTCAGTAACTTCTCCTTTTTCTTATTTCTTTCTTATTTGTCTTTCGGCTCTTTATCAAATAAAATTTGGCCTTGAATCAAACAATGCATACTTTCCTGATAAAGAGTGAGGCGTTATTTTTGCATTTTAAAAAGGAAATTAAAGATTTAATTTAATTTATCTTAAAGCAATTCACACAAGCAAATAATCTTTTTTTTAAAAAAAATATTTAAGACAAACGTCTTAAAAGCTGCAATCTTATAAAACATTTTTTTTTGTATGAAACACTAGTCTTTTTTTTAAAATTTAAAATATATCAGAACTGGATAAAAAATAATTTAATTAATTTCGAGGAATTGTCATGTTGTCCACCAGATTTGATAGAATTATTGTTAGAAATTGAACTATGAAAAGTATAGAGAGATTGAAAAATAATTTAATTTTAGTAAAATCAGAGAAGAAGAATTTAAAAAAAAAATACAATACGTTTAGTTTATTTTAAATTATTTTCCTCCATTTTACAGGAAATTGAGATTTTGCGAAGAATTTGATCTATATTAAAAACACATAATTCATTTTCAGGTCAATACATGTTTTATAATTTAAAAAAAAACAAACACAATGTTTATTTTATGACAATTGATAAAAAAAACTTTTATAATTTTAAGAATATTCAGAATTTTATAATTTTTTATAATTTTCAGAAAATATTCAAATGTTTATTAAGCTAATTTTGAAGATATCACAATTTTTTTATCTAATTAAATTATAACTATTAGAAATTAAAGAATTTATTTTTGGGACACCACAAATTCGAAAATTATTAATTATTTTGTAACCCACAGTAGAGTAATTAGGTACATAATCATTAAAAGAGAGCAGCTGTTTAAATTTCATTTAATTTTATTTCACCAGGAATTACAATATTGAAATATTATCTAACATTAGACGTAAAATAAAAAGCAACACAATTGAAGAAGTTTCATAACAAAAATTACGTAATAATCTTTTGTGAAAAATTCCATTCAACAATGCTTTATTAATTAAAACGATTTCAGTTATGTAGATTTCTAAAATCAGCTCATTATTTAGTAAATGAAGTGTTACACTATACATTCAGGGTATTAAAATACACATACAGGATTTTTGGAAGCAGATAGTGTTTAAAAATTTATAACAGAAAAACGATTAAAGTTAAGAAAATATTATTGGGCTCGATTATCAAGTCACCCCTGTTATAGGGTATAAATGATTACTCCAAAAGATTCCGTTTTTAAATTTAAAAACTTCTCAACAGGTGGAGCTGCAAGCAATAAACTTGTGAATCAAAGAAAAACTACTCAAAATTCCATAGCAATTTTTTATCCCGTTCCATGAATGGAAATCACATTAAGTATTCCCTCCATTAGCCGCAATCACTTGTTTGTAATCGAACATGTATGTCTTTATGCGACATGAAACAGAGGAAAATTCAATAGAAAGGCATAATAGCGCCATCTGTCTGAAAATTTTAAACTAAAGCCAAGAACTCTGGATAAAGCATTTATGCGTTATGACACTAATTTGAAGCAAGATTTTTTCTTAAAACCTTAATTGTTTTCCTGTCATAAATTTTTGAAAATCATCAATGTAGGACAATCCAGTAAAACTCGGTGTTCTTTTAGGGTTTACTAGTATATGTTCATCTATTATCTATCAATAAAATCAATGTGATCAATCATTATAATGTTTGCGGTTGGAAATGAACTATTTTTATTTATTTCAAATAAAAAATAATTCTTTGATTTCGTTTGTACTAAATTGAAAAATAAGAGGAAACATAAAACCATCGAAGAAACTAAAATTAATAATAATAATATCTGGAACGATGTATAGCCAATAAAACCTACTTTTATGTCTTTCCAAATTTTTACTACGATGACGATGCCTTGTTTTGTATATTATTAGTTTCTTGACTTGCAATATGTATCCGGTCCAGTCAAAGAATAGCTTGTAAGTTATTCACATTGTTTCTATTTGTGTCACAGAGTACAGCCAGTGCAGGTATATGATTGGGAAACTTTTTATACCTTTACATATTTGTCATTGTTTTGTTGGACCACGAAATTAACAGAAAAAATTGGACTACTTCGTTCACCACTCATTTACTCTCAAAGAGTGACAGAATCGTTCAGTAAGAAGGTATGATGCCTCAATGATGATGAATCATCATCAGTACTCATGATAATGAATCAATACCGATGAAAGAAGAATCACGGAGATGATGAAATTGATAAGATAACTCAGAAATTGAGATAAAGTGACTTAATGGTTGTAAAATTTCTTGTCCAATAGTATTTTGTGCTAATTTATTTTTTAATATAAGTGACAATAATGGCTTGAAACTTTCCAATCCAAGAGCTAGCGACAAACAGAATTAGAACAGCATTCATTATTCTGAATGAAGCCAGCATCTCCATCTGCATGGAAAGAAATGAAAGAAAAGAACGCAGCAAATTCTTTCTTTGTGGCAGACACCTCAATTTTTTTTCAAACAGCGTGAGTCATAGCACGTGCCCGCAAACACGTTCTTTTCTTTTCACCATTTCTGCGAACAATTATTTATTAAACTTTTTTTAAAGAGAATTTAACAATTGACAAGTGTTTAGAAATTTAAAAATCAATAAGTAAACTTTCATTTTCAATAATTCAGTATACTAATCCTCATTTTACCTTGGAAAAGATGATAGCATTTACAGGAATTTGAGTTTAAAGGTAGTAATGAACAATGAAAACAACATGTTAACAGTTTCAAGAAACTGCAATGGAAAAACCTCCACTGGGCAAAATTACCCCCAGTTGTCCGGGTTACTTCGGTGTTCTGAATTCTTACCAATTAAAAAGGCAAATAAAATATATTTCAAAACATCATAAACAAACTCTTTGAACTTTATTCCCAGTCTAAAAAATCTTTTCCTTTCTCTAATTGATTGAGAAGGACGCAGGCGTTTTTGATTTATAAAACTGAGCGGTCTAACCCCAGTTGAAGGTTTGAGTAACTTCAGTACGGAATACTCATTAGAAGGATATACAGTCTCTCTACAATGCGAACAGGTAATATGCATAACAAAAATGACGAAATTTTAGCAGCTGAAACAGCATAAGCAAACATCCACAAAGAAAATAGCTCTGGTTTCAGTTTTATTGCAATATTTATTTCTCTATGATTGTTTTTGTAATCAGTTTTTGAGAAAATTCATATAAAATGAATTTCTAAATGTACTATATACGAGTTACCAACTTTACCTTAAAACTATTGAGCACCTTTGGTAATACTGGCGAATAAATTAGCTTCAACTTAAAAGCTGTTTTTTTTTTAATTTTTTTATTTTATTATACTGATAAAAATTCATCTACATTATCCTAATTTACACTAAAATGTAAATATGTACTCTATGATAGATACTCATCGGAATTCACATTTTTCGTAGAATGCAGATTGATAAAATTGTCAAAGTCTGAACTTTTTCAATGAATTTAAAAAAAAATCAAATTTAATTCGCAAATTTTGGATTACCTTAAAAACTGTTTAAAATTGATTATGGAGGAAATTGGAAATTGTTGGTTTCATTTAAGTCCTGTAGTTGTGGTTCAATGACAGTAATATTTCCGTCACTGATAAACTACATGAGAAATTATTACATGAAAGAATTGAAGTTTTCTTCTTTATTTAATTTCTCTCCGTTCATAAAATTGTTTTCTTGGTGCAACACAATGAATCAAGATTTGAATAAACCTGCAGTGCGAATAGCCGTAACTTACACGCAAGTAGTCGCAACAGACCTAGATGGCTCTAAAAGTAAACTTTTACCTCGTTGCTTGTTGCAGTTAGGTATAAACAGCAACGCAAATGTATCTCTGAACTGTTTGCTCATGGAACAATAAATTATGAAGTTAATAGCACTGTTAATGAGCGCCAATCCATCCATAGTCTCGCCAAAATTGAGGTAAACGTGATTGAAGAAATCAGTTCCCAATATTCCACTTAAAAGAGCGAGTAAGCCGGCAGGGAACTCAGTGAGCAAGAAAAGAAGAAGCACCGCAAGCAACATCCGCGTTGTTCTGTCATGCGTTTTGTCGCTCTCAACTCTATTCTTCAGCCGCTGTTTTCTCTTGTTAGCTTCGTACAGAACCCGGATCAAACCCAGGCTCAAAGCAGTGAGCGCGACGCACGGCACCAGCTTCGTGATGACACTGAACAGCCAGAAGTTAATTCTCTCCATAAGTTTGTTGTGCTGTTGGGCAATTTCGCTGAAGTCCACTCGATACATGATATCGCCCTCATCGCCTCTGAACTCACTCACTGTAAACGTGATGTACACAGGGATGCAGAACAAAGCACAACTTATGTAGGTGGCAATAATGGCGCACTTAGCTTTCGGCATTGAGCAAAGGTTTGTGTTGCTCGCCGGAAAACTGACTGCCATGAATCGCCAAATGGCGACAGTCACCGTGAGCCAAATTGAGATTGTGTGGTTGACAACAGTGAAATGAGCATGGAAGAGAGTAAATACGGCCCAACCATACGAGAACTTCTCCGCCTCGGTCAGATCCTGGCGTATGTAGTTGTGGAAGGTGAATGGTAAATAAGAGAACATGACGAGCATGTCAGCGACAGCAAGACCAGTCAGGATTGCGTTCGTTGGGGACACCATGTTTTTTCTTGTCAACACAATTATATTCAAGACATTTGCTGTAATTCCAAATAAGCAGACTGTGAAACTGAGGTAACCATGTACGGCTCCATATCCATTCCTGTAGACTGTCAGATACTCTCCATAATATGGTGCCGGCTCATTCAGATCTAAGACGGCACCTGAAGAATTGAGAAAAGTGAAATTTCCTCCAAAGAAATCTGTTTCATTAAAAGATTTAGAGATATTCAGCATGATGGTGCGTTTATACTGATTATCGGAATGATCTACTGAAGAAAGTTTTGGCAATCCATTTTAATCCAAACAACGTTTGTTCCTAAACTTAGCAGACATGGTTCAATATGTTTCAGAAGTATTTCTCCATTCCGGGAAACTTCAGTGATTTTCAACTTAGCCTTTTCAAACTAAAAAATAAAATTATTTATATTAGTATAAGCATTAATTGCAATAATTAAATAAAATGAAAAATTTTTCTTAAATATTATTGTATTTATATAAAATTGTATTGATTAATTTTGGAAATTTTTTTATTTATTTAATTATTTCAGAACAGTGGGAGAATACCAATTCTGCTTTATTCTGCTCAGCACTCTGCTTTTAACAGTAGAGGTTGTTTAGGGAAAAGTTAAAAAATTTCCCCATTATATCTAATTACATGCCGCAAAAAAATAAGCAAACAGTCTCTATAGCCACACAACTCTTACTTCTTCACAGATAAAACTTTTTATGATGAAGAATTAGACATTGAATTTAATCAATAAATATGACATAGATCTTATGCGCAATAATTTAATAAAATGTAACGTGTCTCAAGTCCAACCCTGAAACCACGTTAACTTTGATCACTAAATTTATCTGACATAGCGAACGGAAATTGAAGATTAAAGTACGTACTTATAAACTCTTTTTTTATTATAACCATAAGCTAGAATCATCTATAGTTACATTTAAAACAATGGCTAACACTTTACCAATCAGAAAATTCCATTTTGTTTTTTTGCTCATCCCGCTCGAAAGGTTCGTTGTAGAATGTGCCAATGTTGACAGTGACCTTCTCTGTTTATAAAAAGAGATATATTGATGATGGACGCAAATTTGTTTTCTTCTTAAAATTGTTAAAGACTAAATAAAAACAGAATAGTTAATTCATAGAAATTATGTATCTAAATTATTCGAAACAGTTTTTGAATAGAGGAGAAATAACGTATGGATTTTGATGTGTCGCTCAAAAAATTGTTAGGGCATCAAAAATCATATTTTATAACTGATCGAAACGAAATTTTTATAAATAAATTTTTCATAGATGAAAAATAATATGTATTTTTCTTCTTATTCCTTATAATGACACATTATTTCAATATTAAAATCATATTTTTCGTTATTTAAGATGAGTTATCAAATTTAAACGGTTATCTAATTTCTCAGATGGATAAACGTAGGAGAATTACTACGGTTGTTATTAACCCCTTAACGATTGGTTAATTTTCAAAAAAACGGTCATAAAAGTGTCTATTTTTTATTACTGCTATTTGATAAGTGCTGACATCTAGTTTAAAATAAACTAACTATCTACAATTGCCTTAAAAATATCCTGGTACTGCCACCTAGGGTGCAAAATGAGAAATTAAATGTTTTCTGGGCAAAATAAATGAATTAGTTTTATTATTATTGGAGCGTTACTACTGAACACTCCAGCCCGGAAATTTCACGGGAGCGAGAAATAGAGGGCGAAACCTGAACCCGTCATTTTTAATGTGATAAGTCTAATTTCTTTCCAACATATTTTTTCTTGCTAAATTCGATATTAGAAAATAAATATATATTCATAAAAAGCATTCTTGGTTACCCATACTCTATCTTAAGTAATGATTTCAAGAGTTCTGATTTTTCTCTCTCCAACATATGTTTCAACGTATTTCATATATATCGAAAATATCCAACAATATTTCTTTAAATAAAAATAAGCTCCTTGGCGTCAAAAATTAGGGTGGATGAAGTCAATATAATCGGCGAGTTCAAAACAAACACCGACTATCAAGGCGAGTCAACAGGTGAATTATAAAAACAAAATGGATTTGAGTTAAGAAACACAACAATGCCAACACAAAAATGGTTAAAAAAATTAAAATAAGAGAAACAGCAACGAAAAAGCCGCAGTAGTTGAGAGAAGCAATTGAGGACCAAGAAGGAAATTCGGAGCAAGGTACATTTCCATTCGGAATAGAGGGGTAGTGAAAAAATAATTTCATTCAAAAGTTAACCCTAGTTTGAGGAACTTATAATTGAGCAGATATTCTTTATCTTACAGTTTCAGTTCCTTGCAATTATTTATTTCATATCCAGCTATTTTTATAAATATATAGTTAGAAATATTTAATATGAACACTACAGCTATGCTTTTTCTCTTTAAGAAATGACAATTTTTATTGCTATCCTAATGCATTTTAAGATGATTTTAATTCTGTTTGAGTGATAAGAACGAAATGTTCTAATGCAGATTTTCCACAATGACACAAATGATAAGAAAGACTGAAAAATGATTTTAACATTTTAATGGCTTATCTTGTAATAATTCTTGAGAATAAAATGTACAATTTTTATCAGTAAGTACTTTAATTTCCTTTTTCTAGCTTCGAAACAAACTATAAATTGGCTTTAATTGATTTGATGGCTTTGATGGGAAATTATTGTTAGATTTTAATGAAGACTTGAAATATATTACATCTTCTCGAGGCGTCAAAAAGAAACTTATTTTCTATAGCCAGTGAGTATATAGACTGAACTGATAATTAATTTAAGGGTCCTCACTACGTGATATAGATGACGTTGTGAAAGACTGATTTTTAAACGTCAGCTGCCGCAATGTCGCTAACTGTATTAAGTTGAGAAGGATAAACCTTTAATTAACAAAGCGTAAAATTGTGAAGAATTAGCATAACTCTTTCATAATATTTTTTACACAAGTTGAATCAAATGTAGTGATAATATTAAAAAAAATAATTTGGTAAATCTTAAACTAAAGTAGGAATGATTTTTGCGTTCTCGAAATTAAATATATGCTGAATATGAGGCAACTGACGAACATTGGCAAATTTGATGATTAGCCTATAAGAATGAAAAAAGTCATGCGTGGCTGTCATTAAAATATCGAGCCGGAATCGGTTGGTAGGGCGTTGGGCCCATGTCCAAGAGATCATGAATTAGATCCGAAGCTGCATGAAATGGTGACTGGTGCACGTTAAATCTGCTAGGGTCACAAAGTCCTACCAAGTTCCCATAACAAATCAATACCCCTGGGGGTACTGGATCGGGGAATGATCGTGCTCTGGTTCAGATCAAAATTACAATCAGCGGATGGATGGTGTGTGAATGTGTTTTCCCTGTAAAATGGGCTGTGACGTATGTGTGTGACAGAAGTCGAATCACTGGCTATAGATGGCACTACTGGAAAACAGAAAAAGCGTATCCACCTTAATTAAATAGGCCTGTTTGTATTGACGAGTGGCATAGGATAAATATCGCAAATTTATATACCGTACATTGTTGCAACGTTGGACATAAATTTAAGTTCCATAAGACCAAAATGACAGACCCTGCATACCGTAAAGAAATGTTTTTTGGCCCTGCTTGGCCCCGTTCTTCCCTCTACGTTTTTTCAAAATATACACCGTTTCTTTTCCCACATTCGTGTTTTTTTTCCCGTAGATATTTACGTTTTTTTGTTTCGTTCTTAACCTGTTTTATCATTCACGGGGAGATGTTTTGACAAGAAGGGTCTTATTCGAATGCTCGAAACGTATTAATTTATCTTCCATTCCAATTCAATTATGAAGCTACTGAAGTTCTTTTTTTAATTTCAAGTACATTTAGTATTGTTCCGATGTTTCAGTATAATTAAAATATGAGTAAATCATACGATATAGCAAAACTTTATTTTACTCCTTAACAGAATAAGCGTAAACTTGCATTTCTTGTTTCTTAGTCAAGCACCATTTTACAACGAGACCTGTTCTGAAAAGTAAGTATTTAGGTTTTCAGTTAATTTTTATTTTGATGTTTCATTAATTTCATTTCAAAGTATTTAAACTCGCCGAATCATTTGTTCGAGATTAAGATGATAATAACAAAAGCATTCAAAATTATGCGCATAGACTTGGGTTGCTATTTATGTTATTACACAGTAATTAAAAACGGGTGAAAAAACTTTTTGAATTGAAATAAACTTATAAAACCATTTTAATGGTTTGTGCTCAGGTAGTTCGAAATTCCAAAGAGGTGATGAGAATCAAGAGAATAACCACAGAATAAAAAGGAAACGCATGCATGCTCTGCATGTGGACACATCAGAGGATTCATAGCGTGTATTTACATCACTTCGGTAAAAATCAAAAAAATATATTAAAGTGCATCTGGGAATCATTTTTATGTCGTTGTAGACTATTAGAAAAAGGTTTATTTTTTGTAATTGTTTTAAAGCATGACGTCGAAGTTTGCGTTTTTGTTGCGATTTTTATCTTCTTAACAAACGTTTGCAGCCCTCATGTTTTATTGTTTAATTTTTCGCACTCTGGATTCCTTTTATCATCCTTTTAAATTTGTCAGTCAAATTTTGAAACACCCTGTGTAAAGCGCAAAATTATGAAAGATTAAGCTCAGATAGAATCTTAAGAAACAAACGTGAAATAAAGCTATTTTCGGTATATTATAAAATATTAAATATAATTTCATATTTATTAAAGAGTAATAATAAAATACACATATGGTGCATTTTTAACAAAATTAGAAGTGACCGAGTAGCTATTGGCTAACAACCTAGTCTCATATAATCGGCCTGTGGCCTGTGGCGACCATTAATTTTGCATTATATATGTTAATCGATTAGTGCTAGTGCTGTCGATTAGTGCTATGTTGGCTCAGGGGATAGAGAGCTTGCCTCCCAATGAGGTGAATCAGGTTCAAATCCAAGCGATAGCTGATAATACGAATTCCGCACCCGGTTCGCACCGACCACAGCGCTGACGTAAAATATACTCAGTGGCAGGCGAATAATGGGTTCGAGTCCCCTTGCTATCAGACAAACAGTAGGAGATTTTCGTGGTTTTCCACTCCATATAACGAAAATGCTGGTTAGTTCCATCAAAAAGTACTCCACGATGGCAAATTTCAGCCGGTAATTGATCCAGGAGTTATCTTGTCTTCTGGATTGGGTTCAAAATTACAAGGCCACGAAGTTGAGCATTAGTAGTCGTAAACCCAAAATTGGGTCGGCTGTTCAACGACGGTTATAAAATCGATTAATGCAGGTGTTAATTTACGTATTTAAATCTGAAACTTTCAATCCTACTTTCTCTGAATAAGTTTATATTTAATTTTATTTATCTACTGTTTTTTTTAAAGGAATTCC